CTTTATATTTGCACTATATGTACGTTTTGATCAAAGCACACATGAGTATGAAGTTTTCCTTTTGTGGTTTTATTTGATTATGTTTGAAATTGAAGGTTTTGGTGTTGAGGTTTGAATTGGTTAATTTTTTTTTTATTTTTTTTTTATCATGTTCCAAATTTAATATTCAGTATTTTACTGAACAACTCCTATGTTCTAAAATTTGCCCTTTATGCTCTAAAGTTTACCCCTATGTTTTAAAGTTTACCCTATGTGTTCGAAAGTTTATGCTATATGTTCAAAAGTTTATGCTAGATATTCTAATGTGTACCCATTATAGTTTATGTTCATCTTGTCACTTTATATTTGCACTCTATTTAAATATAAGTTATATTCTAATTATTTATGATTGTTTTTAAAGGAAAGTTGAAAACGTTGAAGAGGAAGTAATCGACAAATTGAAATTTGAGAAGCATATTGCAAGTAAAAGTGTTGCTAAAAGACATATCATACTTCCAACAAGGCTTCAACCACCTCGAAAATTGCAAAAAAAGGAAGAAGAAGAAAAAGATCAAAAAGTAGAAGAGGATAATAATGGTGAGGATGATGATGAGAATAATGATAGTGAAGATGATGGTTAGGATAATAATAAGGGTGATGTTAAGATAAAAGAGAAAGATGAAAAAGAGGAGGAGATGGAAGATGATAGTGAAGAGGAACAAAAAATCAATAAAAAAAAACACAAACAAACAAACAAACTCAAGTAATATTAAGTCTTTATTTTTTTAGTTGCACTCCTAATTTGTTTAGATGTGGCTAATTATGAAGTAATCTTGTTGCATGATATACATATTCATGGAAACTGAAAATGTGAAGAAGAAGAAAAGAAAGATTAAAAAAGAAGAAGATGATGAGGATGTCCAAATACTAGAAGCTAATGAGCAAGAAAAACTAGTTAAGAGGCGACCTTATCAAAGAGTACCTCCTACCCAATTCATGGAGGATGTGTTGATAGATCTTTCGAAGAAACATAAGCAAGCTATTCGGAACATTGGTTTTGGAGGTTTTTTGGAATTGGATTTACCAATCCATACTAATTCAATGTAAGTAGTAGATCTTTCATATTCTACAATCATACGTATTATCATTGTTATGTTCTAAATTATGATCTCTCATGTTTGAATCTCTATACACTAATGTTCTAAATTAATTTTTGGTTATGTTCTAATGTATGATTATTATGTTCTAAAATAGAACTTTTTTTATTCTATAATGTTCTAAATTATGTTCGAAAGTTTAAATATTATGCTAAATGTTTTAATCTTCTATGTTCTAAATATTGACTGTTATGTTCTAAATCTAGGTGTATTATGCTCTAAATCTTACATTTTTCATCATAATTCTAGGTTGACAAAAAACTTGGTTATTAATTTTGACACGGAGAGATGTTGTTTTATGCTGCCTAAGAGAAAACAAGAAATCTTTTTGGATGCAGTTGATGTTCATTTGGCTTATGGGTTGTCATTGAGAGGCAAAAGGATTGAGCAACCAAATGATGAATCAAATCTGAAATAGAGCAAGTTTCTAAAAGATTGTAGAAGCAAGTTTGGCCTCAAAAAGGTATGATGATATAATGTGGTTATGTTTTAAATTTTATGTTCTAAAGTATGAATATTATGTTCTAAAATGCAGATCTTATATGTAGTTATTTGACTTGTAATGTTCTAAATTATATCTAGCTATTTTTATGATAATATATTGGTATAAGATGGTTATGTTATAAATTGTATGTTCAAATTCATTTTTGATCCTGCTTAAACTAGATCTATTATACTTTTTCTGTTTTAAATTATAATCTCCTATGTTCTAAAGTATTTTGCTTATGTTCTAAAGTGTTTTCTGCTTATATTTTAAAGTACAATAATTATGTTCTAAATAGATCTATTATATTCTAGATTATAAATATAATGCTTATTATGTTCTAAATTATAATCTCCTATGTTACAGATATTGACTATTATCTCTATATATGTTCTATTTTTTTTTTTACCTCTAAAAGGGAAGTCCAACCAACAAAAGATTGATCGACATAAATCAAGAATTGAAGAAGGAAAAAACAGTTTCTGATGAATTCCTTTGGAACTTTGTGGTATGTGTTGTCAATTGTTTGCATCCGATCAACAAACAACACACAACTATACATTAAATTCTTGTATAGTTGTATGGATGTAAAGAAAATTGCTGAATTAGATTGGTGCACATTTGTGATTGAGCACTTAAAAGATTCTATTAATGTATGGAAGAAGGGAAGTTCTTACTTTACAAGTCCTTTACCTTTTCTAATAGTAAGTTTTAATTTCTTACCATTATGTATATATGTTATTCTTATTATGTTGAAAATGTGTGAAAAATATCTAATTAGTTCTTAACATGTACTAAATAGGTATTCTATTTTAATCGTCTACAAAGAGGAGGGTTAGAAAAACCAAGAAAAAATTTACTAATATCGGTGTGGACAAAGGAAAGGATTCAAGTGAGATATAAGTTTGATAAAGATCATGGATTTGGATATGGAAAAATCTTGGAAAGAGTGGAATCAAATGTGGTATGATATTTGTATATGCTTATGTTTAAACACTACACTTTATATTCCATCTATATTTGCCCACGTTCTAAATTTTACCCTTTATGTTCTAAACTATATACTTTATGTTATAAACTGTTTTAATATTTACCCTATATATTCTAAACTTTATATTCAACTTACCTCTGCCTATGTTCTAAAGTTTATCCTGTATATTCTAAAGTTTACCCTGTGTGTTCTAAAGTTTATTCTTTATGTTGTAAAGTTTATCCTTTATGTTCTAATCATTCAACTTACTTTTGCCTATTTTCTAAGTTTACCCTGTATGTTCTAAATTTTACCCTATATATTCTAAAGTTTACTCTTTATGATCTAAAGTTTATCCTTTATATTCTAAATTTTGTAATTTATATATTATAATGTGTAGGAAAAACACAAAAAACAATCTAGACAAGAGGACAAGGAGAAGAGAAAGGAAGAGTCATCAATGGTAACTATAGATTTTAAATTATTACTACATATGCTTATCTCTTAAAAATTGTAGACACTTTACTCTAACCTTTATATTCTAATCTTTAAAATTTATGTTGTTGTTTTTTAAATTTGTAATTTATATACTAGAAGGCACCAAAAGGAAAAAAGAAACAACCAAAACAAAAGGACAAGGAGAAGAGAATGGAAAAATCATCAATGGTAACTATACCTTTTTAATTATAACTACATATGCTTAACTTCTTAATATTGTAGATACTTTATACTTTCTGTTCTTGTTATTTTAAGTTTTTATGCATATGTTTTAAGATTTGTATTTTATGTTTTGGAAGGCACACAAAGAAAAGCAAACAAAAAACAAAGGCAAGGAGGGAAGAATAGAACAATCATCAATGGGTTCTAGTTCTACAACTTCTCGAAATGACATGATGGTATAATGTTTAAATGTTTTTTTTATTTATTTATTTACTTATTTCTATTTTCTTCTTATTATGTTCTAAATCATCATCTATGTTCTAAATAATCCTTCAAGTTCTAAATAATCATTTACTTTATGTTCTAAATTATATTTAATGCTCCATTTAATCCTTTACGTTTTAAATTATCCATGTTATGTCCTTTATGTTATAAGTTTTCCTTAATGTTCTAAATTATTTTTGTGTTCTAATGAAGGACTTTTTGAGCAAATTTGGAGATTTGGCAAAAACACTTGCCTCGAATATTAAAGAGATGTATGGCACGTTAGAACAAGCAAAAGATCTTTTTGTTGAGGAAGAAACAACAGGAAAAATACAACATCTCATATACAACATATGGTGCAAGTACACAGCAAAGGTATTATAATTATGTTCTAAAGTATTTTCTGGTTGTGTTCTAAAGTATTTTCAGCTTATGTTCTAAAGCATAATAAATTTTTTAAATAGTTCTATTAAAATCATATAAATATTATGTTTATTATGTTCTAAATTATAATTTCTTATTTTGTAGACATTCGTGAACCAAGAAGAAGAGAAAGAAACAAAGAAAATCCCTTCTATACTTAGTCAAGATCAAAATTTCTTCGATGAACCGGCATGTATTGAAGAATTGGATATGGTTATGGATAAGGCATGGAAGAAATTCGAGGAAAAAAGGTCACCAAAGACACCGACAGTTGGTAATTTCACATGTTCAAACTACATGCTTAATTTCCAAATTATATTTATGTTCTAAATCAGATGCTTATGTTTTAAACTATTTTCTTATGTTCTAAAAGATGCGCTTAAATCAGATGCTTATGTTCTAAATCAAATGCTTATGTTCTAAATTATATGATTATGTTCTAAATTAGTTATGTTCTAAAGTTCCTTCTTATTTTCTAATTATTTTTTGTTATGCTATAATACTTAATTTTTATGATCTAATTATTATGAAGATTTGAGATCAAAGGAAGAGGAAAAAGATAAGAACAAAGAAGAGTGAAATGAGCAGAAAAACAAGGAGAAAAAAGTTTATCAAAACAGTGTGAAAAATGAGGAAAATAAAGACAAAAACTTGTTGATCCCCTCACCAGTAATTGGTAATTTTACATTATTTTCAAATTCATTTTTATGTACTAATATTTACTAGATATATTAAATGCTAAAATGTTAATATAAAATATATTATATAATTGTTGTAAAACGTATTTACTTATTTTATAATATCCTTTCTCATTATATTTTATGAATAAAAATGTCATGGTTATGCTTATGTTATAATATCATCACAATGCCATATATATTAGTTTAGAACACAAGAGATTATGATTTTGATCAATAATCAAACAAATAGACTCATTAGAATATAAAGTGAAAACTTTAGAACATATAAAGAAAACTTTAAAACATATAGGGTAAAATTTTGAACATAAAGAGAAAACTTTAAAATAAGGAAAACTTTAGAACAAAATGAATAACATTATCTTCTAAACTTTAAAATAACGTTTCCTAGTAATACGAACTTTTCCTTCTTCATTAGGTGCTTCTTGAGCAATAGGTTTTCGTATTGCCTTGAAACCTTGTTTATTGCAAACTCCATATTGAAAAGCAACTACATCTTTGTTCTTCTTCTTCCTTGTAATAGTGGATTTCCTAGGAGCAAAGCCAGCAACATTTGCATATGCTTTGTATAAACTAAGACCCTCATCAGGATCTTTAAATATCATTCCAACAATGGGTTTTAACTCCTCAGGAACACTTGGAATCCATTCTTTAGTAGTACCACCTGGACTAAATGAACCAACAACCTCCGGAGTATGATAAAGACCACCAACTCCATCTGCAAGTAGATAAGTAAGTAGAAAGGATAAATAATTAGAACATAAAGAGTAAACATTAGAACACATAGGTTCAACTTTATAATATATAGAGAAAACTTTAAAACATTAAGAATAAACTTATGGTGTTGGCTGGTGGTGTTGGGTTGTTCTGGTGTTGCTGGCTGGTGGTGGTGGGTGGTTTCGGTGCTGCTAGTGGTGGTGTGTTATTTAGCATAATTTTAGTTAAATTTTTTTTTGGGTTGGATTAATAGTTAACTATATGCCCTTATTTTTCAATAACCATGCTTAAGATCTTTTGCCTAGGTTTCCGCAAAACCCCTCTTTGTTGCGAGTGGAGTTTGGTGGTAGTAGAAGTCATATTCAAATGTAATTAGTTTAGAACACAAGACATTATGGTGTTGATAAGTAATCATACAAATAACAAATTAAAAATGTAAGCAACTTAGAACATAGAGGTTAAAATTTAGAACATAAAGGAAAACTATAGAACCTATTAATTAGATTAGAACAAACAATAAACTTTAAAATATATAGAATAATTGGACAAAAAATAATATGATATTATGTTCTAAATATAATACAAAAAAATAAATAAATAAATTTACACGAATTTTTTTCCATGTGCAAGTAAATGAGATTATTTCTAAAAATAAAACGTCTCATGCGATTGTACTAATTGCATATCTATCAACCTAAAAAAAAATTAAAAATAATTAGAACATAAACACATAATATATATATATATATGATAAACTTTAGAATATATTAGATGCATTTTAGAACATATACAAATTTCATTAGAACATATTAAAATGATATGAAAAGGCATTTATTAAATTAAAACTCAAAGTAAAAACTTAGGACATTATTGATAACCTTTAACACATTATTATATAATAATTTTAGGTTATAACTAATTAGAAAATAAGAAAATTAAAAAATGTTTACTTACAATATTACTTGACTTTCCCGGAACAATTGCGACTATCATGATGGCCAAGCTCTCCACATGCTCTACATAATCTTTTCTTCTTTTGACTTTGTTCAACAGCTTTTTCTCTGTCACTCTTCATTCTCTTGTCATTATTTGGAATATGGATATCATTTGGAACATGAACCTCATTTGGAACATGGACATCATTTGGAACGTTGACCTGATTTGGAACATGAACCCCCGTACCTTTGTTCTTCAAAATTTTAAGAGGTAGACTAGCTCCAATAAGCATTTCAAATCTTTTGTTTTGATAAAAAGAGTGTTGCTTGCATTAGTGGTTTTCTTATGTTCCAAATCCATCCTCAAAGCATGAAGTTTGTTGACAAGATCAATAAGATCATCTTCATTGTTTTGCACTAAACTCACACAAGCATGAATTTCGGACCACAAATCATTCAATAACATCTTCTTATCTACTGCATTGATACATTCATCCAACACATTACCTTCTACATCAAAAATTGGCTTCTTACAAGCAATTGTAGTCCATCTGCTTAGAACATAGGCCTTGGGAATTTTTTCTAACATCCTTGTCTTCCATACCCAAATCATATGCCTACAAGGAATATCTTCACGTTCAAACATTTTACAAAAACACTTGGTTTCTAAGGTAGTTGGATCAAAAGCAACATCAAAAGTCCTCCTCCTAGATCCTTCCCTGAAAATGTAAAGCTCATTGTCCTTCTTTATCTCCTCAACACCAAAATTAAAACATCTAATTTCAATCTCATGTTGAAATTCATAGAAAATTGTTGTTGTAAACAACTCGGAAGCATCTTTCTCTAAAGGAATTGGAGTCTTACACTCCGGACGCTTATTCTTCGAATCATTATCCATTTTATTTTTAGTGTGCCTTTGAGCATCCAATGCACATTCAAACCTATAGAAAATAGAAATTAACTTTAGAACATAGAAGATAACTTTAGAAAATAGAGTGAATTACATTAGAACATATAAAAATAATATACATGACATGTTTATTATGATCTAAATACTATTAAAACTTTTCAACATGTAAGACAAAATTTAGAACATAAAAAGAGAACATAAAAGAGAACTATAAAATAAATAGTACAACTATAAAACATAAAAAGAAAACTTTAGAGCATAAAAGGAAAACTTAAGAACATAGAGAGTAACTTTAAAACATAGAGAGTAACTTTAGAACATATTTAGACAATTACATACTACCTCATGTAAAACTCAATCAAAGTGAGATGGGGATTTGTGAACATGGTGAAAAAATTATTTTCACTTTTTGATCTAGATGTGGTCCTCATGATGCCACCCAAAAATAAATCTCTGAAATACGCTGGAATCCACATATCACGTATATTGTACATATGCGCCAACCATTCATGATTGTTCAAATGGAATTGAGAAATAACTTTATTCCACTTTTCTTCAAATTCTGCTGGCTCAATCTATAAATGTCAAATACATGTACAAAGTTTTTTAAAAAAAAATCAGTGTCTTGGACAATTGCCCGACCTACTTTTTCAAGCACCTTTTTCATAATATGCCACATACGTACAAAACCTATGTTCTATAGTTTGAAAAACATTACGAACAACAACTTTCATTGCAAGGTCTTGATCGGTAATCAAACACACAGGCTCGTTATGTCCCATTGCTTTAAGAAAAGTTTTGAAAACCCATTCAAAAGATGATATATCCTCATGAGCTACAACAGAAGCAACAAAAGTAACACATTTCTTATGATGAGCAACTCCAGTAAATTGACCAAAGATCATATTATATCTGTAACATACACAAATTATATATGCAGAAAATATTAGAACATAGAAGTAAACTTTAGAACATAGAGGTAAATTGTAGAACATAGGGTATACTTTAGAACATTAATTATAAGGATTAAACTTTAAAGCATAGTAATTTACTTTAATTATTCAACACTAGTACATAATAGAGTTTATGTAACACATTTTTGGTGACACTTTTTGAAATGCAAAATTATAGATTTATAAGTAACACTTTGGTAACACTTTTATATAAGGTAACACTTAAAGTAACACTTTTAACGTAGGTAACACTACAAAGTAACACTTTTAGAATAAGTAACATTTAATGGTAACACTAATTTATTTATTTATTCAATTAATTAGTGCTCATTTAAAAAAGGTACCATTAAAAAAAATACCCTTTAATTTCTTCATTAGCTCCCTAAATTTATTATTGGCAATTTGGCATTTCGATTCATTTCATTTGCCTCGCATTTCATAATTTCAGCTTGAGCTCCATCTTTGCACTGCGTCCTCTACCACAACCCCCTTCCACCGCAACCGCCCTCCTCATGGTGCTCCACCAGAGGCCTCCTCCACCGAAGATCCCTTCTGACACATACATCTCCTCGTCTCTCATTCTTTCCCATTGAAGCGCACTCCATGTTCTGACTTCTGAAATCAACTTAGGCCAATTCTGATATCCATTGAGGTGAATTCTCTCAGGTAACAAGTTGATTCTCTATGCAATTATCGAATCTCAATTTCCCAATCTAATGTTTATTCTTAATTTAATTGTAAGTATATTCAATTTAGGGTTCTTCTAAACTTGATTATTACATTAAACTATTGCTTATAATTAATTTTCTATTGAACTATTGCCTGTAAACTTGATTTTTACTTCCCTAGGTGTTCGAAATATGCATGTGGGTTACTGTTGCTATAGATTTCAGACTCTAAGAGGAAAAATTTTCTATTTTTTTTTTGGATAAACATTTCTGATTTCGATTATTAAGTTTGTGTTTCCATGTAATTTACAATTTGATGGTTAATCAGAAATAGATGATTGAATATTTACTAATTTGCAGTTTCAAATGGTTTTTAGTTATTTTTACCTTAGTCTATTATTGTTTAGATTTAATCTTTAAAATTTATGAATCGAAAATGTTGATGTTATTAATATGTTCTTCCCTAAATAAAAGTGTTCCAATTATTTGAGAAAAATCCCAAACCTGCAGCAATTTGATGCAACTTGTTAGCTGATGTGGAGTTCTGTTACTGGATTTGTTAGAGGAAGAATAATTAAGTAATCTGGGGGAGTTTGTTGTTTTTGTTATCATTATTAGTTTGTTATTAGGGAATATTGTAATAAATAGGATGGAGGGAAGGGTAGTAAGATCGTTCAAAAAAGTTGTAAGTAGAAGTTTTGGGAGAGAATTCCTTCCTCTGGAAAGAAGGAAATTGTGTTGATTGACACTGAATATTAATACAATCTATCTTTGGGCTATTGCATCTTTTGTTAATTGCTATGAATAATTATCTATATATTGATAATATGTAAAATTCATTTGTGAAACAATAATTGTTTGTATATTGATATATGTAAAACTCATTTATAATTACCAATCTGAAGGTATTCAAGCAGTGTTTCTTTATATGGTTGAGTTGTCTGCCCATTATGAGTTTGTGTCATAAATTAGGTTAGATGGCATGGTTTATCTGCTGAATTCCTAAATATGACTGCTACTTTGTGTTTTAAAGGTCATGGAGTCTCATCAAGCCAACAAAAAAGGATGCATCTAGGACTGCTAAGGTTGTTATCTCATGATTTCGGAAACTTGGGTGGACTTTGATATGGATCAAGTAGGTGTCTCTTGATTCTTGGAACTGTTGTGTTTATGTTGGTGTGAGAATTCTTTTGTTACAACAACTATATGCAAGGTTTTTTTACAAGGATATGCATTGTCTAACACAAATCTGGGCTTATTATATTGAAAAATCTTGTTCAGATTTGGTCTTTGGGTGAGTGATGCCTAAATTTAATCCATACCTCTCTTGTGTTTCAATGCACATCATAACTTGACAGTTCAGAAGCTATATACGTACTTAGGACAGATAATGTAATGCAGGGTGGTGTGAAATGCAGAAAAAAAAAATCCCAAACACTAAGTATCAATAGCCCCTCATCAATATAAGTAACTACTAAAATTAAAAGGTGCATTATACTGATTTAGAGTGCACAACTCTTTAGCCTTCTCTACGACCTTGGCTGCTATTTTATTCACATCAGTGTCCACATACGGAAGAATTTTAGAGCCTCCTACATTTAAAAAATATCAAAATTTCAAAGCCTCCTTCAGATTAGTGAGTGTTGCAGCATTTAATTTCTGATGCTTGCATGAATTTGATCCCAATATATATTATGTATGCTCTATTCGCAGGTAAGTTGCTTTAATTTTCTTGCATGGAGGAAGAATATTAATGGAGGTAATAGAGAAGGTATATAGAATGAAGAAAGAAAAATACTCAAAGTGTTGTTAAATCCTTTTAAGATTACATTATTTTTTTTATGATTAAATAAATCTGAAGTCTTAAATCCTTTAATCTTCTCTAAATACATATTGTTATGAATTGATTATTGTGTAAAGACTTCATGTTTGTGAGATATATGCTTTATTTACAGTTTAAAGTGCATGTGTTATGATTTTGAGGTCTTCTGTATAATGTATTGATATGTCCAAACTTTATTATAGCTGATTTTGGGTTACTTATTGCAAATCAAGGGCAGAATGTGTTCTTACCTCTTTGGATTGCAAGCCTATTATTCTTGGCTGCTAACTCTTTCTTTATTTCTCATTGTGTCAGTTGGCTTTAGTTCCAAATCAACATTATTGGCCTCCCTCAAAGAATTGCAACAGGCATCTAATGTTGCTGTCGCTCTCACTGCTACTGCTGCCACTACTACTGTTGTATACTGCTGATACTGCTGTTGTATACTGCTGTTACTGCTGCTTTATACTGTTGTTATGCTGTAAACTGCTAGTACTGATGTCTGTAGCTAGCTGCTGGTACTCTTAGCTTCTGTTGTTCGATGTTACCGTTAGCTACTACTGTTTGCTATTACCGCTAGCTGTTGCTATCTGCTGTTACCACTATCTACTGTTGACTGCTTGCTAATGCACTGACTGATATTTAACTTTTTCTACGAAGTATTTTGGAATTTGGTTGTTTAGAGATTGAATTTGACATTCTTTTTGTTTAGATTATTAGATTGTTTAGCTAATAAAAAAAAAGGTGTTTATGGATGTTTTTTGTAAAGAAACTATAAAATAATATCAATTGAAATTATTGTCTCTTGTATATGTTAATTTCACATTTGTAGTTGCATATGTTGATATACTTTTTTATATTTAAAAAAATAAAAATTGAATATTTTAAATATTTGAATATTTGAAATAAAAATTGAATATTTTAAATAATAATAATAATAATAATAATTGACCTATTAATTAATAAGGTGTTACATTACTTTGCAAAAAGTGATACATAATGTCTAACACAGTGCTACTATATGTCAAATGATGATTGAAAAATGTTACCTAAAAATCAACGAGGTGTTACATTAATTCGTTAAAGTGATACACAATGTTGGATAAAGTGTTACTATATGATTTAAAAATGATACTAAAGATAAGTAAGTGTTACCTAAGAAATAAAAAGTAACACTTTAAAAAAGATACCTATAATATAAAAAAGTGTTACATAAGAGAGTTTATAGTAACACTTTAAAAAGTGTTACTATACTGTACCCAAAGTGTTACATGAGACCTTAGGTAACATGGGAGGATGTTTCACCCACTAAAGTGTTACCAATTGTCTATAATAACACTTTTATCACTTTATGTAACAATTTATGGGTGTTATTTAAGGTTAGTTTTGCACTAGTGAAACTTGCCAATAATATAGTTGTTTTAAAACATAATGAACTACTCTAAAACATAAACAATAAACTTAGAATATAGTGTAAAGCTTTAAAACCTAATAAGTAAACTTTAAAACATATAGACATGATGTTTAGAACACAAGACATAATGTTTAAAACATTAGAACATGATGGATATTAGTTTAGAACTAGGGGTGGCAATTCGGGTCAGCAGGTCGGGTTCGGGTCAGATTTCGGGTCGATTTCGGGTTATGCTTAGAAACTATTAAAAATAGTGTAAAACTTAGTATTATTACGAAATATGAAATTTGGGTCAAATCGGGTCGAATTCGGGTTGTTCGGGTTCGGTTCAGGACGGGTTCGGGTCTCTCTCAGTAACTTCGGGTCGGGTTCGGGTCGGGTTTTCGTGTTGGGTCAGGGTTTGCCAGCCCTATTTAGAACACAAAGCATAAAGTGTAAAACACAAAAGATAATGTTTAAAACATAAAAGCATGATGGATACATTTTAGAGCATAAGGCATATATGTTTAGAACATCAGCAATATATGTTTAGAAGATAAGACATACATAGTTTAGAACATAAGGAATATATGTTTAGAACATCAAAACATGATGGATATTTGTTTAGGAATACAAGACATAATTTTTAGAATATAAGAACATATGTTTAAAAAATTAAGATGTAAAAGTAAAATATTAGTTAGATTATGAAAGAAATCTACATTGAACATCACCTGTTTGTTTTAAATGTGGTATCAAAAGAAACCATATCACCAAAAAGTGCATAATTTTTTCAACAAATAGGATCAGCCCATAAAGCTCTACAAAGTCTATCTTCTTCATCAACATCATAGGAAAAAAAAATGCACTCCAGAGCAATTTCTTATTTTGAAAATTATCCACAAACATTTTGGTATCTGATCCATCAATATAAGCCTTCAAATCTCTATAAAAAAAATTGAAATCTTGTTTAGATGCACCAACATTATCATGTGATCCAGCTAATTCTTTCATAATAGTATAAGACCTCACAAGACCAACATTTACCTGTTTATATATATATATATAT